CGCGTTGAATTCGTGCCGCTATTTCCTGAAAGAGAGCATGGAAATAGCTGTTCACCCAATTTTGCATTTTCCTTTAGTCCGTTCTGTGGTAGGTGGCTTGAAGTGCATCGCACCAGCATATGAAAAATGCTCTGTAGCTCGATTTCAATCGATTCCCGCAATATACGCCTGATAACAATTTAGGCGGATTGTCTCTAGTTGTTCAAATACGGTGGGGCTTATTACATGACGAGCAGTAGATCTCAAAGACATCTTCCGAAATTAATTACTGCTATTCTTCAACAACGTTTTAGGTATTGAGCTCATCGCAGTCCTCTTCAAATTCATCGGGGGCAAAATATGGTAGTGGTTCTGGGAAAACGGAGTGGATCCATCCTCCAGGTGAGCAAAGCATACGATTCAGAGCTTGGTAATAATTAATCCGAATCCATGTTGGCCCCATTGCTGAGGTGATGTAGGGGCAAGAGGTCCGATTGCCATGCGTGCACCAGGGCACATCATTGGTTGGGAATTTGAGTCGAGTCCGTACGACCCCCCCCCCTTTTTAACACCTTCTTAGCACCTTTTCCTAACGTCCGTGAAGCGAGAAAAATTAACTATCAGAATCTAATAAATTTTTCTCAGCCCAGTTGCAACCTCCTCTCCTTTCGGCCAAATACGACCCCTGTTGGGAATTCCCCAACGCAATGTTCCCTAGTGTGCATGAGTCAGACCCCCTGCGACTCCTGCCCAGGCCTACCAAGCCCTCTACCTTCCGAAGACGGTAAATTTATACAAATTTGCCCGGGAAGATAAGGACACTGACTTCTACATCGGCTGGCCCTCTCAAGGCATTGCATGGGCTAGATCTTACTCAGTAAGCCACAACGATTCTGAATAGAAGTGTTAATGTGTGTCTCCCTCCCTCCCTCCTCCCCCTCCCCTGTACTACCCCGACAGTCTTGTACATTGTTCGATTTCACTTACAAGGGAACCCCAACAGGTCGATCCGGCCATTTACAATGAGATGTATACGTGTGGACGTGTCTTGAGCCGCTGAATCCGAATCTGCCCTCCGATTTTGCGGAACGATTCTCTGAAGGGCGTACGAGACCATTAATCTTTGCTGGTTGTTTGCACAAGCTGACCAGGAAAGGCCCACACGTCAGCCGGCCATTTGCAACGAAATGTACATCATTGTACTCACCTTGCCACGATGAACACAAGACTATCTTTTAAAAAACAATTCTCGAGCCAGTTGTTGTGAGGTTTTTCTTATTGTTTTCTTCTTCCAGCCGCCAAAGCGTTAGCACCTGTAGCGCAACTCGCAGCGCTCTTCGCGCAAAACAGGTATCATATTCGTGTTCAGGGGTCAAATAACCCCCTAGAGACGTCACCCCAGCGGAATCGAGGTTCTAACTCATTTTCGAGCTGTGGCTGACTGATAGCCAAAGCGATACTACGACTACCATACTGATGATGACTGGTTTTCCAACTGAAATACCTCTTCATGTGCCTTTTCGCAAAGACATTACCCGGCTTACTTATTCTTGCCGTTTGCATCATCGTCCTCTTTACCACGAGGTAGTTCCATCTCGAGACCATTCACCAACACGGCGTAGCGTGAGCTCCCCTATGCTTTCGATTACCCATGAAACAGCACACATTTTCCAAGTTAGGTGGAAATATCAGATTCGGCTAGAAATTTGTCCCAGGGGTAGTTTTTTACCCTGCGGAACTGAATATGATCGTTTACATTAGCAAAAAACCTAACCCTTGTGACATGTGGTTATCCTCATAATAAAAAGTTTTCAAGAGGAACCCTACATGGGGAATCGCTCGCCTTTCGTTGGCAACTAATCAAGAAATTAGGCGAAATGGCCAAATAGAAATTTCGGAGGGCTCATACCAAGTGTTTTGAATGAAAAGCAAAAGATTTCGATAGCCAAGGATTCCAACATTCGACCTCGTGTCTCTGAAGCAATGCACTTATCCACTAGGCCATCTTCGGCTTGCAGCATGCAGTTATCCTTCTCAACTTGAGCAAACGCTGATGCTAAGATTAAATGGTCCGTAACTCCCTTTGGAGAATCGTTCCGCAAAATCGGAGGGCAGATTTGGATTCGGCGGCTCAAGACACGTCCATATTTATACATCTCACTGCAAATGGCCGGATCGACCTGTTGGGGTTCCCTTGTTAGGGCTATTCTTTCTTTCATGTGAAGTAACTGAGCTTCAGTAAGGAATTTTCTGTGTTTACTGTCCCTTACACGCAATTCCCTACTCAGACTTCGCTACACTGTAAGCTTTCTGGGCTATACAAGCCGTAATACTGAAGTCGTTGTGATTTTCGATGTTCTACTGAATGGCCGAGTCGAGTACAGCGTCAAGCTCTTCGGTTCCCAGGAAGTCAAGGAGCCCAAAGGTACAAAGGTGATTCGTGTGCAGATACATGAATACATTTTCAAAAATGGGTTGTGAGAGCTTTTAATCTTGCTGCTGTTCTTGCCTCTTTCAGTTCACGCCGTCGTCGACGGAAGGTCGGCATATTTCGAATCTTGATGTTTTAAGGTGCAAACGTTTTCAATAGCAACACAAGCCGCAAAACTACAAAAAGTCGACATTCAAATCAATGTGGAAGGGGTCACGATAGTTGACACTAAAACGAAAGCAATCCTGCATCGTTATCCTCTCCAGAAGATATCCTTTTGTGCTGATGACAAGCAGGTACGAGTTAATATCGATTTGATGGTTTTAAAATTGACTTCGGATTTTTAAGTGTAGGGGGATTGCTCTACTTTGATTTCCATATTTAGGACAAACGTATTTTCTCATTCATCGCGAAATCTCAATCTGATCCCGAAAAGCATGAGTGCTATGTGTTTCTTAGTGATAAGATGGCCGAACAAATCACACTGACTGTTGGAGAAGCGTTCGATTTGGCATATAAGGTTAGTGAACTTCATTTGACCTCCTTATTTTTTGCGTTATTCTGGATTCCTTTTCTCTTTTGCGGAGTATCATGATTAGCGGACTTGGCGTGTGCTAGGTCGTGACCAGGACACGTCTTACTTTGGGGATCCTCAGCGAGGGAGTCGTATTTGGTCGCTGGAGGGAGGAGGAAGGTCGCACTCGTAACGAGGAGAATGTTTTCGGTTGTTTCTCTTCTGCGTGCTGTTTTCGGTTGTTGACTTTTCTCTGCGCTGTATGCCCCCTCACTCCGCTCGGCAGCAGTTCGGTTTTTGAGAAAAAGCTGGAGAGTGGGTAAAGTGGGAAAATTTTGTTGGAATTGGTAGCTGGATGGGAAGGAGGGTATAAGAATAGCAAGTCTGGAGAGATAGGGGCTGGTATTTAGCAAATTTCCTTCCAACACCAAGGTGTCCCCAATTTTTATCCCGTGAACTGAAACATATGAATTCTTTGAAAAGTCGCGGCAGGACACTGGAGGGGGTATGAGAGTTGACAAGCGTTGAAGTGGCGAGAGTATTCCTCAACCTTAAGTCAGATGTGCAGATGTGTCTTTGCAATCTTTTTCAGTGTTCAAGATTTTGGAAATAACCTGCGTTACTTAGCTTATTTTTCAGCGGTACCTGGACAAGAACAGGACTTCATTGGAGAATCAAAAGCAGGTACTATTCTGAAAGTTTTCATACCTTTTACCTATCATATGCCTATAATATAAGGGACGAAAATAAGGGTAGATTTTGAGTAAAGTGCGTCACCAGCATCAGGTCGCATGAGGCCGGAGGACATTCGGCGGTTCAATAGATTGCGCGACGAGTAAAGTTTAGATGTATACGTATAGTTTTCCTCGTCACGAAGTCTCTCGGATCTGCGCCGAGCTTCCCCAATCTCCGAATCTCTTCAGTCATCATAAACGCGGCCTAAGGAATTTGCCTAAGATGTGCCCAGTTGAGACTGGCAGTAAATTTCGAAGATAAGTAGCCAACAATTGCAAATGGTTCAGAATCTTACCAGAGAAGTCCAAATCCTTGTTACATGGAACTTCGATGGGTGTTGCCAAATATGAAGACCAAAGTTGCTATCTGCATCTCACAGGCTAATTTTGAGCAGGCAAAACCCCTGAACTCGCTTAGGACTGGTCACCAGGACGCCTGTAGCTTGGAAGCTCCACGTTTTTGAATGGAATGGATACGATATCCGTGTTCAGGAGGTCAAACTGCCCCTCACGACGATGTCTCAGCCAAATCAAGACTATGACCAAAGCTTCGAAATATTTCACTGAAGG